GTGTGTGTGTGTGTGTGTGTGTGTGACAGATCTACACACCGGACTTGCACCAAAACACGTAATTATTGACATTAATAACAGTAAACACAGTGTTGATAGATGGCTGTAATCCTCACACACTCGTTCCCCGGAGGCCCAGCTCACACCACGGTCTTTCCTGGCTTCTGAGGCCGCCTCCCGGAGCTCCTCTCCCGTCTGTAAGAGCTCAGCTCCTCCGCTAAGCTAAAGCTAACACTGTCAGTTTGTCATCATGTCAGAACGTGACGACACGTTTCATCACGTCAGTAGCTTTCGGTTTACGGTCTCGTTATTATGTTGAAGTAACGTAAACAGAACGAGTAGCATTAACCAACGTATGTATAAATAACGATTTGGTTGTTTAGCTGCTCAGGTAGCCGGCTATGCTAACGGTGATTAACCGAGCTCGCAAAGCCGAGCAGCAGGGCTCTACATCCGGGTCAAAAACGAGCTTAACCCGGGTCAGCCATGGGACACTAACATCTGGAGATGTTAACTAGAATAACACGGTTTAAATGACACATGACACGAGCCAACAGGATGTGTTTAGAGGTAAAAAACAGCCTCTTAAAAGCTGCTTTACCTTCCGCCTTCAGCACGGTGGCCATCTTCTTTCTGTGACGTCACTGCGTAGCAGTTGGGGGTTATAATTTGACTGTATTAATTACTTTGTTAATAAAGTGTTCTTTATGTAACACTTCCACTGCTTTCAGTTTCACACTGGTCATGAAAACGTTAATTTAATGAGTTGAGTGAACTCACAAAAGTTCATTCAACTAATATATTATAACATAAATTACTCTGATTAAAAGGAGGAGCGGAACTTTATAAATGCAGAAGACTGTAAACATGATGTAAATTATGTAAAATACTAGGCTTACAGTTTCCCTCTGCTTCCAGTCTTTGTGCTAAGCTAGGCCAACAGTTTCCCTCTGCTTCATCTTTGTGCTAAGCTAGGCTAACAGTTTCCCTCTGCTTCTAGTCTTTGTGCTAAGCTAGGCTAACGGTTTCCCTCTGCTTCCAGTCTTCGTGCTAAGTTAGGCTAACAGTTTAATAGAAATAAGTTTTCATTCGATCAGAGAGGCGAGTAGAGAAAAATATCTGCTTTATTTTGTATAAAAGCGGAGCGTTGTAGTCCAGCAGGAGGCTCAGCTGCACCTTTAAAAACCGGCGGTTGGAGTCCTCACACGTCCATGGTGGTCTAGGGGTCCACTGAAGCAGACTGCTGCTCAATGAAACCCACCACTTCCTGTGCATACTGCACTCACTGCAGCTTCAGAGGACCTCAGAGACAAACAGCTGGAGGACAAGAACTACCAACATCTGTCCGTCTTCATCTTCATCAGGAGGAAGAGTAGAAAACACTCAGGGGGTTACAGCAGGAAGAAACACCAGTGTGTGTGTGTGTGAGTGTGTAGTGGTCATGATGGCGCCCCCCCCCCCACCATGTGACAGGATCAGGCTCCTCCGGAGGTCAAAGTTCATCACATGCCCTGTCTGATGCTCTGGATGATCTGGAAGATGGCTGTAAGACAGTCAGACAGAGAGAGAGAGACAGACAGACGTTAACCAGAGAGGATGCAGAAGTTTAATCAACATTTCATGTTTGTTCACAGCAGTTTATTGAAATATTTAAAGAGTTTTTTACTGTCTGTCTGTCTCTCTCTCTATGTCTACCTGTCTGTCTCACTGTGACTCTAAAGCAGTATTTCTCAAACTGTGGGGCGCGCCCCTCTAGTGGGGAGCAGTGGTATTACAGGTGGGGCGCAGGGGGAAATGCAGATTTTTTTATTTCAAGAACTTTATTGAGAACTTCACATATTACAAAAGTACAAAGTACACGGACATAAAACTAAGTCATTAATAAATACATGTTGAAATGCCTGTACTTTCCTGTATATCTTTACGTTACACCGTTAACAGGTGACGCTTGTGAGACGGCAAGATGGTTGGCGACTGACATGTGTAGCTTAGTGTGCAGAATGAAGAGACGTTATGGAGACGAGGTGACTCTACCCAGAGGCTGAGGTTCACAGCTCAGACACTGAGTGAGCTCTGGCTCGGTGTGGAGAGGACAGAGGGCTGAGGGCATCCTGCTTCCCTTCACATCCTACCTCTGTGAGGTCAGCTGTTCTGCTGCTGCCTCTCAAAACAACAGATCTCAGCTCAACATGGAGCATGAGGTGAGAGCGGCCGCATCAAGTCTGAACCCTGTTTAAAAGGATGTGCAGTGGAAAGCAGCTCATTGCCACTGATACTGATAAACGTGATGACTCACACATATCTGCTCTCATTCTGTTCTTCACAGGTTGCACTTTATTGTTATCTTGTAAAGATATTCAGTGTAAAACAGGTGAACTGTAGCCACAATAAGCTATTTTTTGCCAAATATGAGTTATTTTTGCACAGAGAGAACTTTATTTGCATCGTTCTAACAAAGTGATGCACGTTGTGTTTGTTGTTGTCTGATGGAGCAATCCTTACCTTAAAGTCATTGAAATTTTCTTTATTCTAGTATTTGTAAAAGCACAGATGGAGTCACAAAGTGGTGTTTCAATAAAAGTTCAACATGGACCATGTTGTTACCATGCTGTTACCATGTTGTTACCGTGTTGTTACCATGTTGTTACAGTGTTACCATGGTGTTACTGTGTTGTTACCATGTTGTTACCATGGTGGGGCATGAACACTTTTCTTCCTCCTAAGTGGGGCGTGACAGAAACAGTTTGAGAACCACTAAGTTAAGGTGTGTGCTCATAGTAAAGCCTGTCTCTCTACCTGTCTCTCTACCTGTCTGTCTGTCTCTCTGTGACTCTAAGGTGTCTCCCTACCTGTCTGTCTGTCTGTCTGTCTCTCTCTCTACCTGTCTGTCTCTCTCTCTCTCTACCTGTCTGTCTCTCTCTGTCTCTCACCTGATCCACAAACCACGAAGACGAACAGAGCGAGCAGCCACGGACCCACCGGAGACTTCTCCTCGTTCACAGGCCTCTGGAACACATCA